AATAAGCCAATCACCACGGAACAAGCAATCGGCATATACACGATGCAAACACGTGCAGGCACTAGAGTTCCAGACTGTTCCAGACACACGAGACAAATACCAACACGACCGGTATATACACGCACGCATACACACAGGTGACAGTCTTGCGGATTTGCAAGCACGCCATATGTAGTGCACCCCACAGATAAAGACGCACAAATACGAGCGCGCGCTGCAGACGCCGATGAGTTTGACAGCAGAAGCATAAGGCTTGAGAAGATGATGTAGCGTTTATGAAGCGTTCCCTGAGTGTGGACGCCTGTCACTAGGTGGCACGAGGCGCCCCCAAGCCTAGTATCGCTTCGGCAGCAGCATTTCTAATCAGGCATGGCATTGAAGTGCCACTTGGGCAGCTGTCACATGCCCAGCAACACCTTTGTTGCATGAGAGAGAATGAGGGCTGCCGCCTCGAGCACATGCAAGAGACCGAGTTCCTGAGGTGGATTAGAGTAAATGAGGCGTGCTGGTCGCATCTTCCGGAAACGGCTGTTGGTTGTCCTTCGGGGTGTAGCGTCTGCTGGGACTGCCAGTCTCCGGGATATCTGCTTGAGACACGCATATCCTTTGTCATCCCACAGGTAGCGTCGGCGGGTTTTTGGATTTTGACTGTTTACTTTGTCGGCTCGCTGAGGGTCTGAGTGTGCGCAGCTTGTGGCAAAGAGCCGTGCTGTGGCAAACCGTCGGGTCACTGCAATGCTATGCATGTGTCTAGAGTCTAGAGTCTGGGGTCTGTGTGTTTGAAACAAGACAAAACATAAAAAGCTCTGTCTGAGACCTGTTAGGCAACCACACGCCACTTCTTCGTAAGAGAGGGAACGTCGTGCGCCTTACTTAGGCTACATTCCTCTCTGCATTGTGCGCTTGGACTGCTCACCTGTTTTCCTTGGGACTCTGGACTTCGGCTGCTTAAGCGTGCTTGGGTTTAGTGATTTTCTCGTGAAAGCCAGAAGGGCGAGCGCAGGTACTCCGCCCGGCATGTATGGCCCCTTGTAGCAAGGTGACACTATACCGCCCCTGCAGCAAGGATGACAGGCATGCACGGAAGCTTATAAATCGAGAAGCCCATCGAGAAATGTACCAAATTAGTTATCTTACCTCTTCGTTCCTGCTGTTGGAAAACCAGGCCATACCCTCGTATGCGAGCCTACACACCTAGTTGAGCCATCAAAGCCTTGGGTCTGCAGTTTCATGTGGGTCAACTCGTAGGGTGTCAGAGCAGTTTATTCGGAGGCTGAAACCTTCAGACCTTGGGATTTAGCTCTTGAGGAACAGAACCAAGGCGTAGGGCTTCGGGATGCTGTAACTTGCCTGGCAGCGATGGTCCGCGTCAATGACGACCGCATCAATGTGATTGGAACGGAAAGCATGCCAACGGTCCACACCGGAGTCGCCCGTCACGAAAACGACATGGCTTGATCTGTTTGAATGCCGAGCCGCCAGCCTCGTATGCCGAGCCGCCAGTCGCAGGTGCCTCATTCGAATACACGCCCGTCGGTTGTCATCACAATGAAGTGTTAGATGAATTCTGTCGCGTAAAAACTTACAAATTGGGCCGACAAACCAAACGATTCATCAATATCCACCGCAATCACTTGGTGGAAAACAGCTTCCAGGACGGCAGTTGTGTGACCGTGGAACACACCGATTTCTGCAACTGCAAGCTGCCGGGATGCGGTCATCGGGCAGAAGTACTGGGCCAGATGGCGCTTAAACACAGGGGTTGTTGTGACAATATTCCTTAGTGCTGGCCGCTGTATTCCTGGAAACACTTGTGTAAGTGTCACGGCAGGAAAGAGGAAGTCGGCAGAAGAAGTCAGCAAGCAACTTTTTCCCACAACACTCATAATCTTAAGGTCCAAATTCCGCACTACACCCTGATCAGAACCCTAAACCTTGAACAGTCTCCTACCCACCAAGGCCCCCTGAGCCCCAAAGCCCTGCACTACCCCAAAGCTTTGCCAAGAATGCCACATCTCTGCTCTCTTTCCGGAGTTCTCGCGATCGCCGCTTCCGCGGCTGCCATGCAGCTGCTCGCATGGGTGCGCAGGCACATCGACAACCCGAGGGATGCCCAGAGCATCCTTTTACTACAAGGCACTAGGGTTTAGGATTGGGCGGAGGAGCTTTTTTTCAGAAGGTGCGGCCAAACGTGGTTTTCTAGAAGGTGCGACCAAGCTTTGTTTCAGCTTGATTTGCAGCAAGGTGTTGGGCAAGAAGTTCCATTTCCAGGCTTCTTTTTTGCAGCGAGCTGTCGGGGAAGTTCAATTTTTGGGCGCCTGCTTTGCCAGTTTGTAGTTTTTGCAATTAGCAATTGGGGAAGTCCCACTTTGGGGCGTCTCCTTTTGCCACAAGCTCTGGGGAAAGCTGCATTTGTAGCGTCTTCTTACGCAGCAACCTGATAGAACATTTTTGGGATAGCGTCTTTTTTTGCAGCAATCTATATATTGGGGAATTCCCATTTGTGGGGTGTTCTGCTGCAGCAAGCTATTGGGAAAGAGCCCTTTGGGGCCTTATATTGTTTCAAGCTACTGGGGAAATACTCTTGCACGGCTTAATGCATTACGTTGGTTTTGCGCGAAGCTTTCGGGGACTTCGATTGCGAAGTTTTTTTGCTTCGAGCTTCTGAGGGGTGGCGATTCCGATTCATCACATATCCTAAACGCGCTCTCTCTCCTCATTTGGCGATTCCGGTTCATCATATACCTTAAATAGAGCCCCCTCATTTGGCCATTCTTGTTCGTCACGCCTCAATCGGATAGTCCACTTAATCATATATCTGAATCTGAAGCTTTCCCCCATCACGTGGCTACTCTGGTTGATCATCTCACTTGACGAGTCCGGTTCATCTTATATCTTAAACACGCCCTTCATCATATGTCTCCCACTTCACTTGGCGACTCTGGTTGATCAAGTATGTCAAACACGCCCCGTCATTTGGCGATTCCGGTTCATCATATATCTTAAACACGCCCCCGCTCCCCTTATTTGGCGAGAAGCGCGGGGATTGGGCGGAACATAAACCCCCGGTTTGCAAATAGACTGCCTGCACGATGGAATCTGAGAAGGTCTACCGCAATTGTTTGCGTGGGCAATTCTTGTTGATGGCACGATGCTCTTGAAAGTAAGCCTGCACCGCGTATGACGTCTTTATCACGGGTTCTGAAAGGTCCATGTGGGTTCTGTTTTGCGGTGGGGACGCAGACCCCCCATTCTCCAACAGAGAGTCTTTGTCACGGGATCTGATAGGGTCCATATGAGTTCTGCTTTTTGCTGGCAGGATGATACGTTGAAGCAAGTTGACACTTAAAAAAGTGCGGGGGTCGGGAGGGCCGTAACCATGCCGTAACCCCGCCCATTGCAAATAGACTGCTTGCACGATGGGACTTGAAAAGGTCTACAACAATTATGCGCGAGGATGTTTTTGAAAGCACGCCTGCACGGCGTAAAAAGAAAGCGGTGGGGTTGGGGGGCGCAGCCCAACCCCTTTGCAAACATGACGTCTTTATCACGGGTTCTGCAAGGGTCCATGGGTTCTGCTTTTCCTGGCAGGATGATACAGTACTAGTCCGTTACGTTCGGTATGCACTGAAGCATGCGGATCGGACGCGTTCCCTTTTTCCGATGTCTGAAAACTCGCAGCAAATCCGGGCAGGCTACCGGAAGCGATAGGACCGGAAAGCCACCGTAAAGAATTGCAAGTAAGTCGGAACTGGCTACCGAGAAGGACTTTGATGGATGCACAGCCTACGGAAGTGCAGGAGCAAAGTCCAGCTCACTCCCCAATATGCCCAATTCCAAAATTCCAAAGATCGGAAGCATTCCAAACAGGCGGAGAAAGGGGAGGTGGCGGGAGAGAATTTCCTGGTGCACGCCGTCGGTAACGGATCGGCGGCACTTCAGTCGAACGGCTGCGGCGATTACGAGTTGCCGTTGCGAGCTGGCGGAAAAACACAATACGACACGTCGAGAAACCGGTCTTGCACCGCTTAAAACAGCGCGGGGGTTGCGGGGGGACGTAGCCAGCCCATTTGCAAACAGACTGCCTGCATGATGGGATTATTTTCAAGAGACCACGAACCAGGGTGCCAAAGACCCACCGGACCCAGGGACCCGAGGACCAAGGGACCAGAGACCACGGGACCATGGACCAAGGGACCAACTGACCAAGGGACCAGGAACTTGGCCAAACCTTCTAAACCCCAGTGTTGGCCGCGCCTTCTGAAAAAAAACTCCGGACCCTTAGGATTGAGATGTCAGAAAACTCCCACTAAGCCCAACCCTCACCCTCAAACTTGAAACTTAATTAAGCCCTCAATCCTCAACTCTCACAACCCAATGACATCTGAGCCAGGAAGGATCCCAAGCTCTGAAGGCCATGTTGAATAGGCAACTTCGAAGATTTTATATCTCGCTCGACCGACTTGAGCTGACGGAAGCTGGCAGCACATGAGCGCACGAGCAATACGAGATTGCGCTATCAGAGGTTTAAATCCTGGGAAGGCCCTCATCTACCTCGTAGATTGTGCGCTCGCACTCGGGGTTCGATCTACTACAGGACTCCAACTTCAAGGTAGAAAGCCTGGATGAGCATTCCGGCGCCACAACTGCAGCGCCAGGAGGGGTCTTAGGGCGACCTTCCTGGTTGCTGGTGTGGCTGAGCTGAGCAGCATGTGCAGACGAAGTACAAGTACTGCACGCAAGTGTCGCATGCCGCCCAGATCATATGTTCTCCGCCAGCAGGGAGGCCAGCAGCCGGGGGGGCAGGCAAGCTGGACTTCCAGATTTTGACCCTATCCGACTTATGCAGGCCTTGTTTAAAACCAGCCCAGCCGTCTGGTTACAAAGGAAGTAAACGAATCAAGGACGAAACGAGCAGAATCCGAAGAAGTTGTACAACAAAAACAGCCACCCACTGCACGGGCGTGTTCTACCGTCAGGCTCTGCTCGGGACCCCTGTCCTCCGAAGGCTGCAGCTCTTTTGCAAGTGCCTGCAACAGCCACTTTGACAAGCAATCAGGTGGCCACCGCAGCTGCCTGCCAATCCACCTGCCAAAGATGCGCCGCCGGCCTTCAAAGCGACAGAACAGGTGATACGGTGGAGAGCCAAAAGACAGCACAGCACACCTCGGCTTTTGGCATGCAATCATCACCGCACACCTCGACCGGCCAACATCGCTTTGCGACAAGTTGCTTTGCCGCATGCTCGGCGGCTTTCGTCGCAACCGGAGGTTAAGGGCGGCAGGCAATGAAACAAGCAAGTAATGAGCGAGGGAAAAGTTGCAGTGACGACAACGTCAGGACAGCTTCGCTTGCTCGGGCTGCAGCTTGCAACCAGAGAGCGACTGACAGCACCCGTCGGAAGATGCGTTCGATTGCAGCAGCCTTTCGTGAAAAGTAGCTGCAAACCATCTACAAATCAGGGTTGCAAGACACCACAGTCTGCTGGTGCCAACCCCTGATCCAAGCTGGAAATCCACCAGTTCAATCGTGCAAACCGCCCAGGAGTTGGAGCAGGCTGACACAGCTTGAACGTCAGCGCCCTGCCATGGCATCGGCTTCGTGCACACCATGGTTGCGAGGAGCCGCCATGACCGTCTTGCCGGTTTTTCGCAAACGGCGGAAATTGAAGCGCCATGAAGCCTTCTTCCTGCTCCCCGCATGACATCGTAGAGCTGTCAAGGCTTTCTTTCACCAAAAGCCCGGCTTCGGTCTGTATAGGCTGACGAGTTGGCAGGTTATTGAGCGATGTCTCAGTTTTAGTTTGGGTTTTCTGGTCCCTTGCTGCATTCTTGCACGTTAGTCTAGTCAAGGACATTTCCGGCCGTGGGGTGTGCTCCTCGAGTACCAGGCCCATGCACTAATTTGCCGCCGGTGTTGTTGCGCAGAGACGAGGATGTGGACTCATACTCTCCTAGGAGGTACAGCTTCGGTGAGTTTTCAAAAAGGATGGTTTTAAATCAAAAAACGACTCAGGCATCGTGCAGTAGGGTCTGCGGCTGGGGATCCGATAGATGAGAGTGCTCGTGACCCACAAATGACGGGGTCGCACCGAAGGCACCAAGACCACAGGTTTCAGGAGAAGCAACTCGATGGCTAGGGGCTAGGGGGAATGTCGTTTCACAGACACATGTTCTGAGCGTGGGGCGTGATGACCGAAGCCATGGATGCAGCCACCCCCGAGTCGATCTGCGACGGCACCGCAGCCCGAAACCGAAAGACGAGCCGTGCTGCGCTTTCCTTGCCTGGTACTGCAGACAGGCCTGAGAGGAAAGGAAGAAAAAGAGGGGGTTGCACATCGCGTCAAGGTGATTCCCTGCCTCTGGGCGCTGGCCGACACCGACGGCGGCTGCGAGCTCTTCGATCTGCGCAGCCTTGAGCCTTGCGAAAGCCTCCGAGCGAATCTGCTCCCAGACCCCACACACAGTGTGAGACAAAGAGGCAGAGCTGTCAAGCTTTCCGCCTGTGGGAGTTCGCACCTCGCAGAAGGGATGGGACGGTTCAGCTTCGAACTCAGCACATTTCGTATGCGAGATCCACGAAGGAGCATGAACACTTTTGCGGCAAGCTGTTTCTTGCTCCAGGCATTCAGTTGGAGCCTAAGCAGACGTCATGGTCAGGGCCAATTCGCAACCTGGATGTTGCCACTGCGTCTTGCCGGAAAGACGGTCCCAGAAATACCTTGCCACAATGCACACAGCTGCAGTCCGCTTTCGAAGGTCGAGATGGTCGAGAGCTGAATTGAGCTGGGTTTCTCGATCTGAGAGCCAGCCTGTGAATCTGAAGAAAAGCGTCGGCGGAGTGTACGTCCGAGCTGTCTGCATGCGGCATACTGAGCACGTGGCCTCATCCTTTGCCAGCACTTTCACCCAATCGCCGCTCTCTGTCTTCTGAGTCTGCTGATTTGATGGCACGGCTTCGTGCTTAGATTCCTCGAGAGACTCGAGAATGCTGCGCCTAGGATGGGTCAAAGTTGAGGATCGCGGTATCTTTCGGTGCAACATGGTGCGACACAGCAAGCTTTCAAGTCTCATATAGCTGGTTGCTGTCCAAACGCAGGGCACGAACGAGTTTCGTCGATTCGGTGCTGTCACGAATTGCCTCTAGGGCTTCTCGACGTGCCTCCAAAGGGCGGCGGGCGTGTGAAAACAACTCCTATACAGCAGAGGGCCCAGGGCCGTTGGAAGCTCCGGCCTCTGCAGGAAGCTCCTGAAACTGTGCCCGCAGCTCTTCGGCGCCGGAGACCTTGCTCTGATCGAGCTGCATGCCCAGAGCGTAGCAGACGTGGCGCTCCAGGAACAAAGAGTTCTGGCTGACACCATCTCGTCTCATCTCCTCAAGCAGCCGGGCCTCGAAATCTCAAGATCTCAGTCTCACGAAAGCCTTTCCGTACCGACTGCAGTTGTCTGGGCCCCTCACCCGGTCGGCAGCGGGCCGCCCGGCAGTGGCCAGAGATCCCAGCGCGCAGTTGTAGGAAATGACATCCGGGACGAGGCCGGCTGCTCTCATCTCTGACAGAATGCCTGGAGAGCAAGGCAACATCTCGCAAGCTGTCAAGAAAATGCTATGTTCGAGTCACCCTACATTCTCAGAGCACAGGCTGCTCAACTTCAGGCTGAGTTGCGAAATGCTGCATCTGCATCACCTCACATCGAGCATGAACCCTCGCAAGTGGATCAAAGGATGCGCTTCCAGACTCCATTGGTAGAACTAACCCTCAGCCTGAAGCCCTTTTTATCCCTTGTTTCGACCTGCCGCAGGGATGACTGCGAAAATCTACTTTCTCCTACAGCTTGCTGTTGGTGGCTTTGTAAGGTCAAGAAGTGACGGGGAAGACAGCACTGCCCAGCCGCCTGCAATGTGACAAGCATCCAGAATACAGTTGTAGCTGACAGTGGTCGCGTTCAGACCGAGGTCTCTAGCTTCTTGAAGGAGTGCCTGCACATCATGCATGCGAACTCTGTGCATTGCGAAAAGCAGCCCCATTTCATGAGCTCTTGCATTCACACTGTGGCTGCCTGGTCTCTTGCTTCACTTGACCACCTGCTTCTATCCCAAAGGAACAAGTTACAGTGGTGACACGCCGCCCGCCGGGTCGTCACTCTTTCATCATGTGCACACACAAGAACTGCAGGCTTGCATGCATCCCGTCATGCAACCAATGTGCAGGCTAGAAGTGGGTAGAAGATGCTTGAACCCTTGCCCACAAAACTACGGTCACAACGAAATTAAAACCAGCTGGGCTGTCCTTCGCAGTTCAGAACCTTGACTCTTTTGGACCCTGTTGAAGCAGAGCATACCGCATACCACAGCTTTTTCGCCCCGGCCTCCGTAGCTGAAATGTCGCCAGTTTTTGCCACTGTGGACATGACAGTAGAGACTGCAGGGTAAACAGGTTGCACCCCAGCTGCGCGCATGTCCTGCCATGCGCGCCTCGCGCCCTCCACATCGCGTGCGGCCTTGTACACGTCAAAGACAGCCAGGTAGCTGTGACCGTTGGGTTCCACTGCTGCCGCACGCATTTCGCCGAGCCTGCAGCATGTCCGAGACACTTCGTCGACGGAAGCCAGCATGCCCGATAGACCCCGAACCAGAATCTCCCAACCGGAACATCTGCCGAATCCGCTCGTGTTGCAAGGCATGCGCCAGGACAGGGTGAGCTCTGCCGGCAAGTCGGATAAGTGGAGAGTACGTGCGCGCCTCGGTTGATACGCGTGCCAATCACAGTCGAGAACGGTCAATCGTGTTCTTTCGTTCGTGCGTGCGTGGGTGCGTGGGTGCGTGGGTGCGTGGGTGCGCGGGTGCGTGGGTGCGTGGGTGCGTGGGTGCGTGGGTGCGTGGGTGCGTGGGTGCGTGGGTGCGTGGGTGCGTGGGTGCGTGGGTGCGTGGGTGCGTGGGTGCGTGGGTGCGGGGGTGGCGGGGGTGCGTGGTGCGGGTTGCGGTGGTGCGTGGTGCGGTGCTGTGGGTGGGCGTGTGGGTGCGGGGTGGGGGGCGGGTGCGGGGGTGCGGTGTGGGTGCGGGGGGTGCGGGGGTGCGGGGTGCGGGGGTGCGGGGGGGCGGGGGTGCGTGGGTGCGTGGTTGCGTGGGGGCGGGGTGGGTGTGTGGGTGTGTGGGTGTGTGGGTGTGTGGGTGTGTGGGGGTGTGGGGGTGTGGGGGTGTGGGGGTGTGGGGGTGTGGGGGTGTGGGGGTGTGGGGGTGTGTGGGTGTGGGTGTGTGGGTGTGTGGGTGTGTGGGTGTGTGGGGGTGTGGGGGTGTGGGGGTGTGGGGGTGTGGGGGTGTGGGGGTGTGGGGGTGTGGGTGTGTGGGTGTGTGGGTGTGTGGGTGTGGGGGTGTGGGTGTGGGTGTGTGGGTGTGTGGGTGTGTGGGTGTGTGGGTGTGTGGGTGTGTGGGTGTGTGGGTGTGTGGGTGTGTGGGTGTGTGGGGTGTGTGGGTGTGTGTCGGTGTGTGTGTGGGTGTCGGTGTGTGTGTGGGTGTCGGGGTGTGTGTGGGTGTGGGGGTGTGTGTGGGTGTGGGGGTGTGTGTGGGTGTGGGGGTGTGTGTGGGTGTGGGTGTGTGTGGGTGTGTGGGTGTGTGGGTGTGTGTGGGTGTGTGGGTGTGGGGTTTTGGGTGTGGGTGTGGGTGTGGGTGTGGGTGTGGGTGTG